GGTAGGCGATCGCCCACTCGGCCTCGTCGACGGGCTCGCCGCGCTTCTCGCGCGCCACGAGGTGCTGCGCCGTCGGCGTGCGCGAAAACTTGGAGGCCACGTAGAGGAGCGTCGTGTAGAGGAACGACGAGCGCTTGCGGACAAAGTCGTTGGTCATCAGGCTCGGATCGAAGACGTCGCTCCACGTGTTGCCGAGCTCCATGTAGCGCTCAAACAGGGCGCGCGCCGCCGCCTCGGTCAGCGTACCCGCCGTGATGGGGTCGTCGACGCGCAGCCCCTCGCGCTGCTGCTGCGCGTGGCTCGCGCCAATCGTGACGCGGTCGTCGAACACGGCGCGCGGCGCGTCGTCGGGCGAGCCGTCGGCGACCTCGAACGGCTTGAGCATCAGCCGGATCGTCAGCGGCTGCTCGGCGATCAGCTCGAAGCTCTCGTTGATCGCGTTGGTGTCCTCGGGCGGCGGCGTGCCGGCATCGCTGAGGTTGTCGTCGTCATCGCCGTCACCGCCGCCGGGCCCGCCGCCGTTGCCCGACCCCCGCGCCGCCATCGCCGTTGGTCACGAGCGTGTAGGGCGCCCCCCTCCGGCGGTCCTGCGACGTCATGGCCTGCTGCATCGCCTTGGCCATCCGCGTCACGTCGACGCCGTACAGCTGCCGCGGGTCCAGCGGCGGCTCCGGCCCGGTCGCGGCAGCTGCACCGAGCCGCGACAGAGGTCGCCGCGCGCCGTCCTCGAAGCTGACGTCGAAGCGCGGGCTCGACTTGGTGCTGGGCACGCGGTCCAGCGTGGCCCGCCGCGCCAGCCTGTTCGGCCTGCCCGCTTCCTGCGTGGCCGACGACGGGCTCGATGCCGCAGGGTGCGCAGCCGTGGTGCCGGAGCCCTTGGCCGACGTGCCGGCCTCGGAGCGTTTCCCCCGTCCACTGGGCGTCGCAAACTCGTGCTGCTTGTCGGCGCCGCTGCCGTTGGTCCGCGCCGGGGCCGAGTGCTGCGGCGTCATGGCCGACGCCGGCGTCGCCGAGGCCGCTTCCGCCAGCAGCGTCAGGTCGCGCCCTTGTAGTCTGGGCAGCGGCGATGTGGGCAGAAGGTGCCAGCGTGGTCAGTCCATCTGCGTTTCCGCCGCAGTCCGCCGCGCCGGCCATCAGCACTCACTTGCTCTTTGGCTTCCTCCCGCGCTTGTGCTGGACAAAGAGGCAGTCGAAGCTGAATCGCTGGCACCGTTGGCAGTTGTCCGAGTCGGCCGACGGAAGGCACCGCACCTTGGCCAGTCGGCACTCGAGGCAGGCCCTGCGGTCCGGGTGGGGGGAGGGGCGAAAGGGGTCAGGCGGAGCGGAAGGTCAGCATCAGGACCAAGTGGCGCTGCATCGGTCGCCACGCTGCCACTCACTGTCCGCCGCGGGGCTTCTCGTTGGACGTCTCGCGCTTGACGGGCGTCTCGGGCTTTTGCTCGGGCTCGTCGCGCGGGCTGGCTGCATGCTCGGCCTTCATCGAGGGCAGCTGCGTCTCCGGCGCCTTTCCCGGCGAGGCGACGTCGGCCGCGGGCGAGGCCGAGCTGCGGCGGTCCTGCTCGGCGGTGGGCGATGCCGGGCCCGCGGTGGCGGCGCTGCGGCACCCGCTGCTACCGCCGGCCGAGCTGCCCGCGAGCGAGGGTCGCGCCAGCTTCGACGACGCCGATTCCATGCCGTGCG